TAAAGGGTGAATCAGCAGTTCTACATTAACTCCAGAGTTTAAGACCATTTATTGTTAAACTGTGTTGAACGATCAGCAGAGCTTTATTTTACTGTAAAGGAGGATTATTTTATTTTTACCTACAAATCTGATTCTGCTGTGGAGCCACAACAGGACAGCAAAAGAGCCACATGTGACTCCGGAGCCATGTGTTGACGACCCCCAGCATACTGAGTATTGTTAAAACTTCTTGAAGTATCGTGATATTTTGCCATATCGCCCACTACTTGAGAGGTTTCATGTAAAAAATGTAAGTGGGCCAATTGTTCTTTGATCAGCCTCGTACATTACACTGTGTGTTACAACCCCCCCCGTCCTGATCAGTCACGACATTACGAGATTTTTATCATGCATGTTTTAAACCAGCAAACATTTTACACCTCAAATTAAACAAGAGAAACAGCCGATTTAGACCAGTTAGAATGTTTAGCCTATACAAATATGAGTGCTAACCAGGCTGTGAAATTCCAGATGTGATCCAGATGTGAAATTTAACTTTCTTAGCTCAACATTTTGTAAACTCCTCGCCATTTCACACCAAGTCTCCACACTTCCCCTGTCAGCTCAGGAGGTTGGAGGGTGTCCGCAGCAGTGATATCACCCCTGCAGCTTATTTCTGATTGATGAAACTGGGAGTGTAATAACTCACCCCATGTTTCAACCCTCCCTGGTCTCACTATACAGCGCCTTTCAACTCATAAAAGACCCCATAGAATACAAAAGCAGTACAACAATCCTTAAAAAATACAGCCATTACCAAGATGACTGTAAGGCAAAGTGTTTTAGAATAATGCCACATTGTCTCCACGTCCACACACACACACTTTCCCCCACATCTCAAGCTAGCATGTGTCCCAGTAACATTGAAAGCCAACAGTCCTCATCAAACCCAGCTGTATGATCCACATCCAAGTGATGACGAGTAGCAGTATTAACAGACTGCCCCTCACTGGGCACTGTTTTATTTTATGGCTCTGTGATCTGCAATCCACTCTGGGAATGAACATGTGTGCTCAGTGTGCCCAGACCTCACAGGTGCTCTAGTTGAGTGGTCCTCAGTCCCAGGCCTGGTGAGAGACACACTGCACGAGTTTTCCCTAGTCCAACATGACTAACGTAACTCTCAACCCATTCAGGGTGTCTTACGACAGGGGGAAAACCTAAATCTGCAGCGCACTGGGTCCTCAGGACTAAGCCCACAGCTGTACTAGATGCGCCTCCAGCCACTCAGCTTATCTGAAACCAATTTGATGGCTTGCTTTGAAATAATTTGGGTTTGAATTGATTGTGAGGTCGAATCCCAAAAGGCTCCTTCTTAGACATCCAGTGCACTGTTTGGATGTTCAGACTATTATTTGTAATGACCTAAGAAGTGCACTATATAGGAAACATGGACCTATTTGAGGTTCAGCCTAAACTACAGGAGGAAAGTCCATCTCTAGGCACCACCAAGCAGAGAGGTTATTGGGTTCACCTCTGCTTATTAGTCAAGCGCATTCATAAACAGGTCATATTTGCTCATAATAGATGAATGAAAGTCACAGGAGGCATAAATTAAAAACTAATAAAATAATACATGGGACATCCTCATAACGGCAGCCCACCTGCGACAGTCACAGACTGACGCGACTTCTAAAAACCGCAATGCTCCCTATATGTGGCTTACATTACAAGAGGAACTCCACCATTTTTTTAAATTTCTACCTGATTAAATTGTTAACATGTCAACAAAATCAGAGAGGGTTGGTGTAAAATACTTTGTTTTAGAGAAACTTGCCGAGTCAGAATTTTTCACAGTGGTGGTGATAGGAACCAGACGTCCACCTTTAAAAGCTCCCTCCCAGAAAGCTAGTATGTAAAACGGTTATGAATATTTAGCCTGATGTCTGAGACATTGTTTGACAGTAGCTTTGTGATAAAGGCGTGGCCTAAAATGTATCTTAATCCATTTATTTTAATCTACTCATGGTTGAGGGACACATGAACAGTGTTCTAGGGCAAAGCAGTTCCCAAAGAAAAGACAGACCATTGCTTAAATCATCACCACCTTGAAGACACATGTAGGCTCACTGGTGGTCTGCATTTGTGTTGTAGACATCAAGACCCCTGGTTCCCATATATCAGGACACCTGGTTCCTATATAGCACCAAAAAGGTTCTGCTATAATGTCAAGCTTATAACAACAGAAGAACTCTTTTTGTTCCTATATAGAACCATTTTCAAAAAGGTTAAGCATGAAATGGTTCTATACAGAACTCATCTTCCTACATAGAACCTTTACCTTTACATTCTTAAAAAAGATGTTTCTTCAAGGGTTGTTTAGTAAAGGGAATGGTTCTATTTAGAACCATGAGTTCCATATAGAATCATTTCATGCTTAAATGGTTCTCTGCATGGTGAAAAAGTTCTTCAGACTGATGCAGAGTGTGTTGAAAATGGTTCTATATAGCACTAAAAAGGGTTTTGCTATTATTGTGATGTCAAGCTTGTAACAATAGAAGAACCCTTTTTTGGTGCTATACAGACCCATTTTTCAACATATTCTCCATCAATCTGAAGACCTTTTTCACCATGCCAAAGAACATGTTAAGCATGAAATGATTCTATATAGAGCTAGAACCATTCCTCAAACTCTTGAAGAACCATCTTTTTTAAGAATGTGCAGGTTATGGTTCTATGTAGGAAGATGAGGTTCTGCAATCACTGTGATGTCAAGCTTGTAACAAAAGAAGAACCCTTTTTGGTGCTATATAGAACCATTTTCAAAAAGGTTCCGCACAGAACCATGTACAACACATTCTCCATGAATCTGAAGATTATATACATCAGGACGCCTGGCTCCCATACATCAGGACGCCTGGTTCCTATATATCAGGACCCCAGGTTCCCATATATCAGGACGCCTGGTTCCCATATATCAGGACGCCTGGTTCCTGTATATCAGGATGCCTGGTTCCCATACATCAGGACGCCTGGCTCCCATACATCAGGACTCCTGGTTCCTATATATCAGGACGCCTGGTTCCCATATATTAGGACGCCTGGTTCCCATATATCAGGACACCTGGTTCCTATATATCAGGATGCCTGGTTCCTATATATCAGGATGCCTGGTTCCCATATATCAGGACCCCAGGTTCCCATATATCAGGACGCCTGGTTCCTATATATCAGGACGGTTCCTATATATCAGGACGCCTGGTTCCCATATATCAGGACGCCTGGTTCCCATATATCAGGACGCCTGGTTCCTATACATCAGGATGCCTTGTTCCCATATCAGGATGCCTGGTTCCCATATATCAGGACCCCTGGTTCCCATATATCAGGACCCCTGGTTCCTATATATCAGGATGCCTGGTTCCCATATATCAGGACGCCTGGTTCCCATATATCAAGACGCCTGGTTCCTATACATCAGGATGCCTTGTTCCCATATATCAGGACCCCTGGTTCCCATACATCAGGTTGCCTGGTTCCCATATATCAGGTTGCCTGGTTCCTATATATCAGGACGCCTGGTTCCTATATATCAGGATGCCTGGTTCCCATATATCAGTACGCCTGGTTCCTATATATCAGGATGCCTGGTTCCCATATATCAGTACACCTGGTTCCTATATATCAGGACGCCTGGTTCCCATATATCAGGATGCCTGGTTCCCATATATCAGTACACCTGGTTCCTATATATCAGGACGCCTGGTTCCCATATATCAGGATGCCTGGTTCCCATATATCAGGACGCCTGGTTCCCATATATCAGGACGCCTGGTTCCTATACATCAGGATACCTTGTTCCCATATCAGGATGCCTGGTTCCCATATATCAGGACGCCTGGTTCCCATATATCAGGACCCTGGTTCCTATATATCAGGATGCCTGGTTCCCATATATCAGTACACCTGGTTCCTATATATCAGGACGCCTGGTTCCCATATATCAGGACGCCTGGTTCCCATATATCAGGATGCCTGGTTCCCATCACCACCACTGTAAAGAAACCAATGTTGTGAAGTTTCCCTACAAACCATTTCACATCAAATCTCAACCACACTTTGAAAAATTGGTGGAATTCCCCTTTAACTTATCTTCAGCCTTTCTTACTTCTTTTAACCTTGAATTCCAGGTCATGGCGTTCGTGTGTATTAATTGCAGCCTTTGCTAAGTACTATAGAGGTGAGCAGTAGCCTATAGCTTGCTATAACGTTCGCTCTCATAGGCGACCCAAAGCGCCCGGCCGGCCGCCTCAGCCGAGGCAGAGAGGAACAAACGGGTATTTCGGCGATTAACCATGTGTTTCTTATTGAACTATACTTTACCTTTACACTATACGTTTTTCAGACGCCTGAAAAGAAACCGTGTCCACTCACGCCAAGTTCACGCACGACAGTGCCTCTACCTGAGCCGCGGCTCTGCCTGTCTGAACGGCTGAACGCAGCATCCTCAGCGCAGGCAGTCTTACTCCAGCTCCTCCTTCGCAGGCTCTTAGCTCAGGGAAACACTTATTCACTATAATGGCAGTAACGGCAGGCAGCATTATTCAAGAGTGACTCATAACTTTTATTAATTCATCATAGCCTACAGGAGCGTGAATGAGGCTGCTTTTCATTGAGCGTCTCTGTATCGACTCAAAAAGCGCAGAGACAAAACCGTGACATCCACACACCACACACAGCCCCGCTGATCTTCCTCTGAACGGATCGATATCGCACCTCTGCTCCCTCGTCACTGGTGTTAAACAGGCTACGTGGCCGGTCTACAGGCTGCCTGAGCCTTTATCTTTCGGAGCAGATCTCAAAAAGACGCCAGGATGAATGGAGCTGGTCCTCCAGCCTTCCGCTGCGCAGGAACGCATGAATGGGGACGTTTGCAGTCAACGCATTCAGAGCTAAACCGCTGCGCGCTCTGGTAATGGTCAGGATAAAAGCCACTGAAACAGCATCTGCCCTTCACTTACACTCATCTATCTGCCCGTAGCTCCTCCGCTCCGCCGTGGCGCATCCGCTGCGTCCCCTCCACCAAAATCCCTACGCGGCTGTGCTTCCAGCGCGCTCCCGGTGAGGAAGAGATCCAGAGGAAAAATCCGCACTGATCTCGGGTTCTTTCCAGACTGCTTTCACTCAGGAACTGTCTAACAGACCACGGCTTGCCTTATAGCCCGTCTGTCAGGTGGAGACGGGCTCCTCCGAGATTCCTCCCCAAAGCAGAAGAAGCACCGCGTCCACTTTCCACAAGGATGAGGCAGAACCAGCAGCAGGCACCTCCGTATAACGGCTCCCACAGCATCTAATCCAGTCAGGACAGAAAGCCGAGTGACCACACGCCATCTCACCGAGTGAAATCCGACCCCGCCGCCGCGTTATGTTTTTTCCGCACCCGTATTCCGACAAGCCCCGGCCGTATCTCGCGAGCTGCGCTACAATTGGCTGATAGTATTCGGCTTCTCGCGCTCTGATTGGCTGATAGGTCAGACCCACTAGGCGCACCGCTAATGAGAATGAACCACTAACCAATGCTAGCGCAGGAGGCGGAATACGGGTGGGAAATAAAACCCGAACGCAGCCCAGCCTCCTTCTCATTTGAATTGCTAATATGTTCGACACGTGGGGAGCTACTCACAAAAAGGGGGGGAGCAGGGGAGCAGGGAGAAAAAGGGGGAGAAAGGAGTGGTTCTGGTAGGCTTTGGTGCCACCATGCTCTGCCTCAGAGAACTGGTTTGCAGAGACAAAGAGCCGGAAGGAGGCTGGTGGTTCTGGTGTCCAAGCTGGTGAAATGAATACAAAAGCAGAGCTTTGTGTAAATTATTATATTACTGTAACAGATCATCGTTTGGAGAACCGAGCAGACATTGTTGTTAGGTGTGTGTAGGCTTGTGTACTGAAATGAATATTTTATGGTTCTTCAAGGGTTGTTTAGTAAAGGGAATGGTTCTATTTAGAACCATGAGTCCTATATAGAACCATTTTATGCTTAAATAATTCTCTGCATGGTGAAATGGGTCTTCGCATTGATGGAGAATGTGTTGACAATGGTTCTATATAGCACCAAAAAGGGTTCTGCTATTATTACAATGTCAAGCTTGTAACAAAAGAAGAACTCTATTTGTTCTTATATAGAACCATTTTCAAAAAGGTTCTGTATAGAACTATTTAAGCAAGAAATCTAGTCTATATAGAACTCATGTTTCTACATAGAACCATTATCTTTACATTCTTAAAAAAAGATTAAAAAAAAGGTTCTTTAGTAAAGGTAATGGTTCTATTGAGAACCATGAGTCCTACATAGAATCATTTCATGCTTAAATGGTTCTTCGCATGGTGAAAAGGTTCTTAAGATTGATGGAGATTGTACTGAAATGCTTCTATACAGCAACAAAAAGGGTTCTGCTATTATTAGGATGTCAGGCTTGTAAGAATGGAAAAACACTTTTTGTTGCTATTTAGAACCATTTTCTGTATAGAACCATATACAACACATTCTCCATCAGTCTGAAGAATGGTTTCACCAGGCAAAGAGCCATTTAAGCATGAAATGGTTCTAAATAGAACTCATGGTTCTACATAGAACAGTTCCCTTTACATTCTTAAAAATATGGTTCTTCAAGGGTTCTTTAGTAAAGAGAATGGTTCTATATAGAACCATGAGTTCTATATAGAACTATTTTTTGCTTAAATAATTCTTTGCATGGTGAAATGGTTCTTCAGATTGATGGAGAATGTGTTGAAAATGGTTCTACAAAGCACTAGAATGGATTCTGCTTTTATTGAAATGTGAAGCTTGTAACAATAGAACAACCCTTTTTTGTTCTTACATAGAACCATTTTCAAAAAAGGTTCTGTATAGAACCATTTAAGCAAGAAATCTAGTCCATACAGAGGTCACGTTTCTACATAGAACCATTACCTTTACATTCTTAAAAAAGTTGGTTCTTCAAAGGTTCTTTAGTAAAGGGAATGGTTCTATTTAGGACCGTGAGTCCTACATAGAATCATTTCATGCTTGAATTATTCTTTGCATGGTGAAAAGGTTCTTAAGATTGATAGAGAATGTACTGATGGTTCTATATGGCACCTGTTAGTAGGATGTCAGGCTTGTATGAATAAAAGAACCCTTTTTGTTGCTACTTAGAACCATTTTCAAAAAGATTCTGTATAGAACCATATACAACACATTCTCCACCAATCTGAAGAATGATTCCACCGAGCAAAGAGCCATTTAAGCATGAAATGGTTCTAAATAGAACTCATGGCTCTACATAGAACCATTCCCTTTGCATTCTTGAAAAAGATGGTTCTTCAAGAGTTCTTTAGTAAAGAGAATGGTTCTAGCTCTATATAGAACCATTTCATGGTTAAGTGGTTGTTTGCATGGTGAAAACGTTCTTCAGATTGATGGAGAATGAGTTGTATATGGTTCTATATAGAACCTTTTTGAAAGGATCTATGTAGAACCATATACATATATGACATCAAGATCACATTTTCCATCAGTCTGAAGAACCGTTTCACCAGGCAATGATTTATTTAAGCATCAAATAGTTCTAAATAGAACTCATGGTTCTACATAGAATGATTTCCTTTACATTTTTTAAAAAGAGGATGCTTCAAGAGTTCTTTGTTTAAAGGAATTGTTCTATTTAGAACTGTAAATTTCATGCACAAAAGGTTCTCTGCATGGTAAAATTGTTCTTCAGATTGATGGAGAATGTGATGAAAATGGTTCTGTATAGCACTAAAATGGTTGTGCTATTATCACAGTAGCAAGCTTCTAACAATAGAAGAACACGTTTTGGTCCTACAGAGAACTCTTTTCAAAAAGGTTCTATATAGAACCACATACAACACATTCTCCATCAATCTGAAGAACCATTTCACCATGCAAAGAACCATTTAAGCTATTTAGAACTCATGGTTTTACATTCTTAAAAAAGATGTTTCTTCAATGGTTCTTTTGTAAAGGAAATGGTTCTATTTAGAACCATGAGTTCTATTATACAGACCCTTGTCACACTTCTTTGTATGGTGAAAAGGTTCTTCAGATTATGGAGAAAGTGTTGTATATGGATACATATAGGAACTTTTTGTAAGGTTCTGTATTAAACAATACACATATATGATGTCAAGCTTGTAACAATAGAAGAACCCTTTTGGTGCTTTATACAGCACATTCTCCATCAGTCTGAAGGACCTTTTCATCATGCAGTGAATCATTTAAGCATGAAATAGTTCTATACAGACTCAGGGCTCTAAATAGAACCTTTCCCTTGATTGAAGAACCCATTAAGAACCATCTTTGTTTGATAGTGTACTAAAGAACCCTTGAGGAATCATCCTTTTTAAGAGTGCAGGTTTGGGTATGATGATATACACTGCTGTGTTTTGGGCGTCTTACAGTGTGAGCTAATATAGTATTTACTCATCAGTGGGGTCAGTACATCCCAGTGTAATAGTATAGTATAGTAGTATAGTATCTGTGTCTACAGGGTTGAGCTCGGTTTACATCCTTTTAATGTTGCTGTAAACTGAAATGATGGACTGCGAGAAGCAGGGAGGGTCTTTGTGACCAAGAGAGCCTTAGAGCTTGGACACACACCACTGCCTGAGTGTGCTGGCGCACCAGGAGCATCAGCAGGACAACAGGGCCATTAATCAACCTGGATTTTAGGTCAACAATATACTGCCGTCGCTGGGCCATAACGTGCAGAGAGTGGATTGCCCGCATGCAAGGCTGTGAAATAGTCCTAAGGAGGAGGAGAACGGCAATATTTTTCTGTTTACGTTCACACAGGCGGCGGTGACGTAGCTCGGGCGTCTTCATGCAGGATATGAAAGATGATATATGCCTGAAAATGGGGAGTGGAATGGGTTCTAGTACATGTGCATCCTTTTTATTTAAGGCATCATTTTGTTGTGAGAGGAGTGCACCAAAGAGATTACGCTACACATTCTTAAATGTTAGCAGATGGAGTAATTGTGTCACTCCTGTTCTCCACACAGCTCCAGACTGATTCCCACAGTGGGTCTGGAAATGTATGGCTGGGACCCATTTGGCTCATATACTTTACATTTCAGCCCCGCTCTGATCTTATCTCCCCCCCATTGTGATCTAACTGCACTCCTCAGCGACTGGCAGTGGTGGACAGTAACGATGTAAATGTAATTCATTACTGTACTTAAGTAGTTTTTTTAGTGTATCTACTTTATTAAAGTTTTTCCATTTTGGTGACTTTTTACTTTAACTCCACTACATTTCAAAGCCAAATATCTCACTTTTTACTCCACTACATTATGAGAAATCTGTCGTTCCTTTTGGTTTATGTGTGTATAAAATCATAACATGTCAAAACTAAGGAAGCGCAAAGCAAGAACACCAATCAGGGCACAGCGCTCACTTTGTTTTGAGCTTGTTTTGACCTGTTGGTCATACCGACCCAGTGCAGCACACAGCTCAACATCAGTGCAGCAGCGTAAAATTTTGGGAGAGTCTATTCAACATAAATGATGAACTAACCTAACTTTGTGTAAATAGACCACAATATAGAAATATGTACACATATGCAGTTGTGACTGACGTGTCTTTTTTCTGAATTTATACAAACACATTTCATTTTATAGTAAATTTGTTTTTGCTAGTTTATGTTTATGAACAGAGACCTACAGATGCAGTTTGGTAAAGGAAACTCATTTGTGAGTTTAAAGCAAATTTTTATTAAACTTAAACTTGTTTAAATTTAAACTAATTTTTATTTAAACTAAGTTGCAAATAAATCTTAAACTGAAACTTTGCTTGTTTGTAAAAAGTGATTTCAGAGCCACTCAGTTCTACCTGATGGAAACTGTTTGCCTTCAGTGTTTTGTGCTTATGATAATTTTAATAGACATCAGCGTCACTAATTAATGACATTCTATTAAAAGACTGGTTTACCAAGAGAGACACTGGAGTATTTTCACCTAAAATGAGTTAATGAAGTGAGTCTTGTTACAAAAATGATAATAGGACATCAGAGCCATAATTAATCTTTGATACTTTCACTTTCGATACTTAAGTACATTTGAAGGAAATACTTTTGTACTTTTACTCAAGTGGAGGTCTAAAGGGAGGAACTTCTCCTTTTACTGGAGTAATATTTTACCTTGGGTGTCTCTACTTTAACTCAAGTGCATGGTTTGTGTACTTCGTCCACCACTGCCAACTGGAGCAAGTCTTCATACAGGTCACAACTGTGGTCTGAGGCCTTCTTTTTTAATGGCCGGTTATCTGTCTTTCTAGACCAGTTGTAAATTAAGACTCGGTCGCTGTGAGGTC